CAGGCAATTCTCCTGCCTCAGCCTCTGGAGTAGCTGGAACTACATACATGCACCACCAAACGTGAATAATTTTTATATTTTTTGTAGATACAAGATTTTGCCATATTGCCCAAGCTGGTCCCAAACAACTGGGCTCAAGTGATCCTCCTGCCTTGGCCTCCCGATGTGTGGGGATTACACATGTGAACCACTGTGCCTGGTCTCGTATACTTTATTATTAAAGTAATGATCCTCATAAAACCCCTTGACCCCATAAGCCCTGTTATTTTTTTTCATGATGTGTTTACAGAATAATGTTTTGGGAGAGCAAATGAGTAATATATTTGCAAGTTCTACTATAATAAAATTACAAATAATTATATTATTATTTGATATTGCTATCATAATTATAATTATCTTCATTTTTGTGTAACATAATTCTGACAAAAAAACATATTTTCTGTACAATTTTAAATGAAAATAATTATTATTAATTTTGTTGGAGAACTTTATGAGACCCTTTTCAATTATTTAAAAATACTCCTAATCCTGTGAAAATTAATGTATATTTTTTAAGAACCTATTATATATAAAATGCTAGATTGGGTGTTGTGCATGATACAAATTTAAACAAAACATATTCCAGTTTTTAAGACAATTGTTTCCAGTAAAAGTCATATACCAAATTGACTATGGAAGGTTCCTTAAAGATAACCATACATTAAGTTTGGCTATAGCCTATGAAAGTTTGTAGAAAGTTAGGATCGTAAATGTTTTGTGCAGAAAGAGAAGATAAGAAAATACATTTTGAGAAGGTAATTCAAAAGGAGAGAATTGGGAGGAAATTAGGCCAGTGTAAGGATTCATAGTATGAGTTTGAGTGAAAAGTAATGAAGTCCTGAAAGAAAGTAACATTTGAGAACTAGATAAGAGAAAGATAAATGACATAAATATTTAAAAGTAGGGTTTGCAAGCTGTTAGAATATTCTTTTCCTGATACCTTCACTTTGTTACAGTAGTCATTCTACTTTGCATCATCAGCAACAATGGTTGTATTCTTCTTTTGACCCCATATTTATGGAGGTGGCAATAATACTACATTTTGTTTTTCTCCCACCAAATTCATGAGAACAATTATATGAACCATTCTTATTAAGCTTTAAGAATTGAATTGCATTGAAACAATACAATTGTTGAAACAGATGAAATTGATAATTTTTACACTACATGATAGTGAGGGAAGAAAGTAAAAAAGGGATAATGCCATTTTTATAAAGTCAAGTTGAAAAAATATGTTTTCTTGGAGAAGATGTTTAATTCACTCTGGGCCAGATAAAGTTTCAGAGGCTAGAATTATAAGTAGATGGCAATTTTAAATAAATTATGAGACATTTTGTTGTCTCTTAGGGAAATGTCTCTATCCTTCCTAATGTAGGAAGAAATCTCCCTACATTTTAGGTATAAGTAAGGGAAACCAATCCCATTAACACATTATTATTCAAGTTCTTAAACTTATGGTCTTACCAAGTTGACATTGATAAGAAAAGGCAATGGTAAAACATTAAGAAAATCAAAAGTTAGAAGGCAGGGAAAAGGAAAAACAACAACAACAACAACATCTTAAAATAAATTAGAAAGGTGGAACCGAAGAAAAGTAAAGTGTTTTATGCCAAGGAGATGGGAAGATGTCAAGAAGTCTAGCTAAAGAATGTTAGGAAACCATTGGTCTGTGACTTTAAAGCTTCAGTATGCAAATAGAAAAGAGCAACTGGAAAGGTAAAGATAGAAAAAGGCAAGAAAGAGAAAGCATGCTTTTTGGAATGAGGAGTTGGAAGACTCAAACAGCACAGAGTGGGTAAAATTAGAAAGGAGTAGTTTTGAGAATATGCGAAATAGGCATAAGCTATTTGATGGAACCAATTCTAATGGCTTCAGGAAAGTTGAAAGCAAGGTCAACTGATGACAGAGCACAAATAAAAAAGTATTTCAGTGATTAAGAAAAGTAAAAAATATTTTCTATGGACACAGCAAGAGATGGGTGAAAATTATAATTAGCAAAGAATACTCATGTGACCCATCATTAATAATAAACTCTGAGAGTTTAAAGATTTGAATTCTAGTAGAAATTTTGCCTCTAAAACATGAGATGCTAATATTAGGTGAACTATTTAAGGATTCACTTTTGGCTTTCCCAACTGTAAAATATTTTCTAACAGTACTTATCTTATCAAAATAATTTTATGAGTCCTAATGAATCCACAGTAAACTTCTGGTGAATCATAGTGACTCTCACTGAAAGTGAGTGTTTCAGGACTTTGAAAAAGAATAGTTACTATACAGCCATTTATAACCAAAACCATACTAGTATAATATAAATCCCAAGAAAATACTTCAAAATGTAATGTTATGCATAGTTTGCAAATAAATAACATGTAATATACATGTATACACACATATCCATAGTTATAATATGTTTAAAGAACTAATTATTTATTGTTGTTAAGTAACAGAAGAACAAATTTAGATCAAATTACTTCAAATTAACATCAAAAAGTATTATTGGTATAAGTTAATTGAAATAAATTAGTAACCAGTTATTTTTAAAATGTATATCTATATATTAATTAGATTGTTTTTTATTGTTACTTGATGGTTTATGTAGATATGCACTTTATGTTTTCTAAACACATAAAAAAGAATTGGCAGATATAACTAATGAGTGCTTTTTATTTTTCATTTTGTGGCTCTGTATCACAGACTTACTTTTGTTTGCTCCATTTTGAGTGGTGCCCTACTTTATCATCACAATAATGATTATTTCTTGTGGGGCTTTTATATAAATGTCAAGTTTATTCAGTTTCTACTTCCAGTTGTTTAAATTTAAAAGATTATTTGCATCTCCCAAAACTATAGTTTTTAAATTATATACATTACTTGTCCTGGCTTATTAAAATTCAGGTTCATATGACTTCTGTTAAGTTAAGTTTCTTTATTTCCACTTCTCTCTGTGAATACCTTCAACGAAAACTGCTAAAAAGAAAGAACTTCTCTTTCCACAAGTGATAACAGAAAAGGAAGGTAACAGACTGTTAAGGATTTGGATATAAGAAAATGACTTCTGGATTAATTACTACTTGAACCCTCATATTTCAAAAGTCTTTGATACTCTAAGTTTCTTAACTGAACTAATGAGTTTACTCTTGTCTATATCTATTTTTCCATTTTTGACTTTACTTTTCCAAACTCTTACACTGTTAACTGTCTAATTTTGCTGTATATGAGATACATGGACACACTCAACAACTATACCATATTAGGTAGGAAATCGTATCCTTGTATGTGAGATGCATGGCCAAATGAGTGTATGCAATCTTCTGGGGAAAGAATAAGTATTACCTTGTTTAGAAGATTTTAGAAACCATGAAGTACAAAAGCACAGCATGTGCATATATATGTGCTTTTAAAACTTGAGTGCAATATATAACTACTGCTTTATGAAAACTTAAGCAACATCATATATGTATACTTATAAATATATTAATTTATATATATATAAATTAATAAACTTTATTTTAGAGCACTTTAAAGTTAACAACAATATTGAATGAATAGCAAAAGTTCCAATATACCCACCAGTCACCACACATGCACAATCTCTCCCACTATCAATATGCTGCACCAGAATGGTTATATTTGTTACTACTGATGGATTTAACACTGGCACATCATTATCACTCAATGTCCCTAGTTTATATTGTTTCACTCTTGATATTGTGTTTTATGGGTTTTGAAAAATGTCTAATGATACTTATTTACCATTATAGTATAATACAAAATAATTTCACTGCCCTAATCCTCTGTGTTCTTCCTATTCATCTCTCTCTTCTCTTAACCTATGACAGCCACTTTTCTTTTTACGACTCCATAGTTCTGCCTTTTCCAGAATGTCATACAGTCAGAATTATGCAGTAAGTGTCTTTCAAAACTGGCTTCTTACATTTAATAATAAGAATTTGATTTTCTTCCATGTATTTTCTTTCTTGGGCAGGGAGTTCATTTCTTTTTAATAAGTGCTTATTCCTTTGTGTTGGTGTACCTCAGTTTATTTATCCACCCATTTAATGAAAAACATATTGCTGGCTTTTAAATTTTGGCAATTATGAATAAAGCTACTGTAAACTGTAACATTTACAAATAGGATCTTGTGTGTTTATAAGTTTTCAATTTTTTAGGGTAGATATAAAGAAGCATGATTACTGGATTATATAGGAAGAGTAAGTTTAGTTTTGTAAGACAGAGTCAAGCTGTCTGCCACAGTGTCTTCCAAATGGCACCGTTTTGCATTCCCACTAGCAATGAGTAAGAGTTCCTGTTCCATATTTTTACTAATGTTAGATGTTGTCAGTGTTCTAGATATTAGCCATTCTATTGGATATGTAGTGGAATCTTAGTGTTTAAATTTGCAACTCCCTCATTATTTGTGATATTGAACAATTTTTTATGAGCTTACTTTCTTTTCATTAACATAGTTTATTTTCTCATTCAGACTTATGTGGTATATTTTTTAAAATAGCAAACAAAATTTGGTTCTTTGTATTAATACAGAATATGTAAGACATTGAAATATATATATATAAACATTTAAATTATAAACACAAAGCAAATTCAGCATCACTTAAACAGCAACTATATTTTCACATAATCAGGATTGCATAAGGAGATAAACATTATTTTTAGCCTAAATATATAAATAGTCTTTGATGCTTTATGTCAGTTCATATTTATAAAAGCTAGTCTAGAAACTAATACCATCTACAAAAGTGATAAGCTTTAGGATACAACTTTGCCATCATGCCATAATAAAGACTTGAAATTACAGAAATCCAGAGGGAACTAATCACTACAGTGTAATTGCAGCAGGTAGAACTACCTACTTATGATTTTAAGATGAACACTATGGGAATCCAGAAGGGATGTTTATGAATCTCCAGTTGTTGGGTTCTTTATGGTCCAAACATATCTTAATTTTGGTGAGAATTATGTCCCCAAATCACCAAACTGTTATAGAGAGAAGTTGCATAGGGACTTTTTTCATCTCTGCTCTTTTCTTTTAGCTTCTTGGTTGCCTGGGTTGACAACTTAATCCACAAGTTAAGTCTCTGCAGGAAATCTCTGCCTGATACTTCCTCAGGCTGAACAGGCTGAACATCAGATTCTTGAGGAGCCACCACTGGCTCCTCTTCCTGAGAAAAACTGTTACCAACAGTTTCATTTTCTGGAGAATCAATGGAGTTAAGTCCATTTAACAACAAAAGCTTCTCTAATATAACATGGATGTTCAGAGTTTTCTTCTTAAATATACCATCATTGGTACACAGTTTACTGGCCCTTTTAATATGCTCAGTCGTGATATTGTACTTGAGTGCAATGCCCTGCTACTTTCTATCTGTAGCTCTTCCTTGGTAAGGTGTCTGTTTTGATCTCTTCCCCATTTTTAAAATGGGTTGTTCATAAATTTTAAGAGTTCTCTGAATATTATGGATAATAGTCCTTTATTAGAAGGTTTTTGCAAATATTTTTTCCCAGTCTGTATCATGGCTTCTCATTCTCTTGACATTGTCTTTTGCAGAACAGAGTTTTAAATTTTAACAAAGTCCAGCTTATGAATTATTTATTTTATAAATAGTGCTTTGGTGTTGTATCTAAAAAGTCATCACCATATCCAAAGAGAATTTCTCCATTGTTATCTTCTATAATTTTATAGGTTAGCATTTATATTTTACTCCATGATCCATTATGTGTTATTTTTTGTGAAAGGTGTAAGATCTGTGTGTAAATTCACTTTTCTTTATTTGAAGATTTGCTAGCTCTGTTTGCTCCATTGTATTGACTTTGTTCCTCCATCAAAGATTAGGTGGCTATATTTATGTGGGGATACTTCTGAGCTATTTGTTATGTTGTATTGATCAACTTATCTATTCTTCACCAGTACCACACTATGTTGATTACTGTAAAATTACAGTAAGCCTTGACATTGGGTAGTGTCAGTCCTCTTACTTTGTTCTTCTCTTTTTTGTTTTGAATTTAGTGTTATGGGCCTTTGGCCTCTCCATATAAACTTTAGACTCAGTTTGCCAAAATGCATGTAACAATTTGCTAAGATTTTGGTTAGAATCATGTTGACCTTATAGATCAAGTTGAAAAAATTGACACCTTGACAATATTGAGTCTTCCTATCCATGAATATGGAATATCTCTCCATTTATTTAGTTCTTTTTATTGAAATCATTCATCAGAGTATTATAATTTTCCTCATATATCTTGTGCATATTTTGTGAGATTTATACCTAAGTATTTCATTTTGGGGAGTGCTAATGCCAATAGTAATGTGTTTGTTTTTAATTTCAAATAACATTTGCAGGTATATAGGAAAACAACTATCATTTGTATATTAACTGAATCCTAAAACCTTTTTCTAACTGTTTATTAGTTCAAAGAATGGGTTGTAGGTATGTGGCCTTATTTCTGGATTCTCTATTCTGTTCCATTGGACTACATGTCTCTTTGGGTACCAGTACCATCCTGTTTTGGTTACTGTAGCCTTGTAGTATAGTTTGAAGTCAGTAATGTAATGCTTCTAGCTTTGTTCTTTTTGCTTAAGAGTGCCTTGACTATTCAAACTCTCTTTTGGTTCTATGTGAATTTTAATTTTAGTTTTCTAGTTCTGTGAATAATATTATTGGTAGCTTAATCAGAATAGAATGAATCTGTAAATTGTTTTGGACATTTGCCATTTTAATGATACTGATTTTTCCTGTCTGTGAGTATGGAATATTTCTTCATTTGTTTGTGTCATCTTTGATTTCTTTGAGCAGTGTTTTGTAATTTTCATTGTAAAGATCTTTTACTTCCCTGGTTAGCTGTATTATTAAATATTTTATTCCTTTTGTGGCATTTGTGAATGAGACTGCATTCCTAATTTGGTTCTTGCCTTGGCAATTGCTTGTGTCTAGGAATGCTAATTTTGTATGTTGTTTTTGTAGTCAAACCTTGCTGAAGTTGTTTACTGATTTACAGAGCTTTTGGGTGGAGAATGTGGGGTTTTCTAGATATAGAATCATGTTATCTACAAACAGGGATACTTTTACTCCCTCTCTTCCAACTTGGACATCTTTTACTTATTTCTCTTGTCTCATTGCTCTAGTCATGACTTTGATACTGTTTTGAATAGGAGTGGTGAGAGAGGGCGTCCTTGCCTTGATCCTATTTTCAAGGGGGATGTTTCCAGCTTTTGCCTATTTATTATGATGCTGGCTGTGGGTTTGTCATAGATGGATCTTATTATTTGAAATATGTTTCTTTGATACCTAATTTGTTGAGAGTTTTTAACATGAAGAGATGTTGAATATGATTGAAGCCTTTTCCTGCATCTATTTAGATAACCATGTGGTTTTATTTTTAGATTATTTTTATATGATGAATCACATTTATTGATTTGTATATGCTGAACCAAACTTGTAGACCAGGGAAAAAGCCTACTTCATTGTGGTGGATTCGCTTTTTGATGTGCTGCTGGATTCAGTTTGCTAGTATTTTGTTGAGGATTTTGCATCAGTGTTCATCAAGGATATTGTCCTAAAGTTTTCTTTTTTTGTTGTATCTCTGCCAGGTTTTGGTATCAGAATAATGCTAGCCTCAGAGAACAAGGTAGGGAGGAATCCTTCCTCCTCAATTTTTTGAAATAGTTTCAGTAGGAATGGTATCAGCTCTTCTTTGTACATCTAGTAGAATTTGGTTGTGATTCTATATGGTCCTGGGCTTGTTTTTTCGTTGATAGGCTATTTATTTATTACTGATTAAATTTTTGAGTTCACTATTCTTTCAGGGAATTAATTTCTTCCTGCTTTAGTTTTTGGGGGTTGTATATGTCCAGTAATTTATTCATTAATTTATCAATTTCTTCTAGATTTTCACATGTGTGAAAATAGGTGTTTATAGTCTTCTATTATGTATTTCTGTGGGGTCACTGATAATATTTATTTCATTATTTCTCATTTTGGTTATTTGGATCACCTCTCATTCTTCTTTATTAGTCTAGCTCGTGGCCTATTTATTGTGTTTTTTTTTTCCAAAGACCCACTCCAGGTTTCGTTGATCTTTTGAATAGGTTTTTATGTCTCAGTTTCCTTCAGTGTAGGTCTGATTTGGGTTATGTCTTGTTTTTCGCTAGCTTGGGGCTTGGTTTTCTCTTGCTTCTCTACTTCTTTTAGAGGGAATGTAAGGTTGTTAAATTGAATTCCTTCTAACATTTTGATGTGGACATTTAGTGCTACAAATGTATCCGAGAAATTCTGTGTCCCAGAAATTCTGGCAAGTTACATCTTTGTTCTCATTAGTTTCAAAGAACTTCTTGATTTCTGCCTTAGTTTTATTATTTACCTCAAAATCATTCAGGAGCATGTTGTTTCATTTCCATCTAATTGTATGGTTTTGAGCAGTTTTCTTAGTCTTGAATTCTATTTTGTTGTGCTGTGGTCCATGAGAGTTGTTGGTATGACAGAGGGTTCTTTTGCATTTTCTGAGTATTATTTTATATCTGATTGTGTAATTGATTTTAGAGTATATGCCAAGTAAAGATGAGAAGAATGTGTATTCTTCTGTTGTTTAATGGTGGAGAGTTCTGTAGATGTCTTTCTGATGCATTTGGTCAACTGCTGAATATCTTTTAAGTCCTGAATATCTTTCTTAAATATCTGCCTTGATGAACTACCTATTACCATCAGTGAGGGGTTGAAATCTCCCACCATTATTGTGTGGGAATCTAAGTCTTTTTGAATGTCTCTAAGAACTTGATTTAGGAATCTGGGTGCTTCTATGATGGGTGCATATATATTTATTATAGTTAGTTCTTCTTGTTGAATTGAACACTTTGCTATTATGTAACAGGCTTCTTTGTTTTGTTTTGTTTTTATATCTTTGTTGGTTTAAAGTATGTTTTGTTTGAAATTAGAATTGTACCCCCTGAATTTTTCCTTTTTTCCCCCTCTTGCTTAGTAAATTTTTCTTCATCCTTTTATTTGAGCCCATTAGTGTCATTGCATGTGAGATGGGTCTCTAGAAGATAGCATACCATTGGATCTTACCTCTTTATACAGCTTGCCACTCTGTGCCTTATAGCTGAAAGCATTAGCCCATTTACATTCAACGTTAATATAGATATGTGTGGATGCACACAATCCTATACTAGAGCCCCGCCCTACTGCTAACACCACTACCGGTACAGATGCACATACAGTTGTCAGCAAGGCCCCTGTCCCCCAACCCATACTGCCACTGTTGCTGACAATTGACACCAAAGATATTCAGGACTTGAAAGATATTCAACAGTTGACCAAATGTATCAGAAAGTCATCTACAAAACTCTCCACCCCAAAACAACAGAAGAATATACATTCTTCTCATCTTTGCTTGGCATATACTCTAAAATCAACTACACAATCAGATATAAAACAATCCTCAGCAAATGTGAAAGAACCCTCTGTCATACCAACACCTGCACAGAGACCAGCACCCTGACACCCATTAGCACTCTACAGCAGCACGCATGTAACTCACTGTGCTGCTGCTGCCACTGCTTCTGGCACATGCAAATGAGTACTGATCCCACTGCCACTGCCACTGCCACTGCCCTATGATGGGCTTTGATTGGCACCACCCTTCAAAGTGTTGTGACCAGTCTTGCAGGATCACTTCAGCCCCTCCAACAGGTTCCTAACCTTGAGGAACCAGAAATCAAGGCCAAGGCCTAATATCAATGGGCCCCCACCCAGATTTAGAAAATTCAGTACAGGATTCCTGAACTGAGCCTTGGGACCCTTAAATCTTTAAGTAATGAAGCCAGTTCACTGAACCCATCTTATACCACAATCAAACTCCCAAAGTCATCAAATAGGATAAACGAAAAAAAATCCAAAGGACAGCAGCTTTAACTACTGAAGGAACGTCAGCCAACAAAGATGAGAAAGAACCAGCACAAGAACTCTGAGAACTCAGAAAATTAGGGTGTCTTGTTTCCTCCAAATGACCACACTAGTTGTCTGACAAGGATTCTTAACTGGGCTGATATTGCTAAAAAATGACATAAGTAGAATTCAGAGTATGCATAGGAATGAAGATCATCAAGTTTCAGAAGATTGAAACCCAATATAATGAAGTTAAGACAATAAAACACTACAAAAGCTGACAGATAAAATAGCTAGTGTAGAAAAGAACATAACCAGTCTGATACAGCTGAAAAACATGCTTTAAGAATTTTATACTGCATTTTCAAGTATTAGCAGAATAGACCATTCTGAGGAAAGAATCTCAGAGCTCAAAGACTGTTTTTCTAAAATAAGAGTCAGGAAAGAAAAATGATTAAAAAAAAGAATGAAAGGGCCAAAAAAATACCTCAAAGAATCGTGGGATTAATTAAAGAGCCAGAATCTACAATTCATTGATGTCCCTAAAATAGATAGAATAAAAGCAACTTGGAAAACATGTTTCAAGATATGATCCATGAGAACTTTTCCAATCTAGCACAAGAGGCCAACATTCAAATTCAGGAAATGAAGAGCTCACAAAATACTTCACAAGAAGATTACCCTAAGAAACATAATCATCAGATTTTCCAAGGTCGAAATGAATAACAACCAAAAAATAAAGGCAGCTAGAGAGAAAGGACAGATTACCTGCAAAGGGAAGCCCATTAGACTAAAAGTAGATACTTCAGCAAAATCCCCTATGAGCCAGAAGAGATTGGGCCTCATATTCAACATTCTTAAAGAAAATAACTCTCAACCAAGAGTTTCATATCCAGCTAAAATGAGTTTTACAAGCAAAGGAAAAATAAGATCCTTTCCAGACTCACAAATTCTGAGGGAATTCATTACCTTTAGACCTGCCTTACAAGAGCTCCTGAAAGAAGCACTAAATATGAAAAGGAAAGACCATTACCAGTCACTACAAAACACACTTGTGTCCCTAGACCACACAAACAAGTTGGCATAATAAACAGCTGACAACATGATGACAATAAAACAACCATACAAACAAGGTGTCAGAAGATGAAGAGAGAGACAGGAGAACTGCTAAACACTTTCAAAACCATCAGCTTTTGTGAGAACGCAGTCACTATCATGAGAACAGTATGGGGGAAAACATCTGCATGATCCAATTACCTCCCCACCAGGTCCCTCCCTTGACATCTTGGGATTACAATTCCAGATGAGACTTGGGTGGGGACATACAGCCAATCATATCAATTGCATATGATATGCCTAGGTGTAGTTTTTTTGTTTGGTTTGGTTTCTTATCTATTCTGCTTTGTGTTCTCTGTACTTCATGGATATGTAGTTTGATGTCTGACATTAACTTCAGGACAATTCCCAGGCATTATTGCCTTATATATTGTTTCTGTTCCTTTCTCTCTTCTCCTTTTATTATTCTTATTATGTGCATATTATATATTTTATATTTTTCACACACTTCTTAGATATTTTGTTCTGTTATTATTTTTCAGTAGATTTCTCACTTTACTTTTCAGTTTGAGAACTTTCCATTGTTGTAATTCTCAAATTTAGAGATTCTTTCCTCAGGTGTGTCCAGTCTACTATTGAAGCCCTGAAAGTCTCATGCTTCATTAATTTATAATGCTTTTGATCTCTAGCATTTCTTTATTAGAATTTCTATCCCCCTGCTTACATTATCAGTCTGTTCTGTTCTTGCTTGATGTTTACTTTTTCCATCAAAGGCCATAGAAAAATAATCATAGATTTTAGGAGTTCTTGGCCTGATAATTCCAAACTTACTGCCATATCTGACTCTGGTCCTGGTGATTGTTTAGTCTCTTTAAATTTGTTTCTTTTGTTTTCTGGTATGCCTTGTAACTTTTTGTTGAAAGGCAGATATGCGGTACTGAGTAAATATAACTGTAGTAAATAGGCGTTTAGTAATGTAGTAGGAAGCTATAAGGAGACGGTAACTTTTTCCAGTCCTGTTATTAGATATCAGGCTTTTGGTGAGCTTTTGCTCCTGGTTTGTGAACTTCACTAGTGCCTCATAGGCCCCTCATCTGTTTTAGATGGGACAGAATGACGAGAAGGAGCTAGAATTGCGTATTTTCCTTCTACTATATGGAAGAATAGAGAGAGCTTGAGTTGGTTATTTTCCTTCTCCTAAATAGGTTAGACTCTAATATAACCCCAGCAGTTTAGGCTCTGGTAATAGAGTTTCTCCTGAGGACTGGCCTTGTTGAAAATGATAGTAAATATACTGTGAAGTATTTCAAAATAGGTCAGACACCATGACTGGGTTCCCCTAGAGTTTGTTTATCTTTTAGTTTCCTCCCTCTTCTAGCAGCCAGCATTAATTATCTGTTTAGGGTTTTCCACCCCAGTGGTACTTGTCCCCGTTGAAGTTTCCAGCCACAGCTTTCTACTTCAGTAATCTGTGATTCTTTATGTCCATCTATCTGGCTCTCTAATGTTAGGGGCAGCCATTTGCCGTGTGACATCTCTTCCATCAAAGATCTAAGAAGTGTTGTTGACTCTTCAGGTTGTTCAGTTTTCTACTTGATAAGATGTAATTAAGACGTTTGAGTGCCTTATGTGCTGGGCTGGAAGCAATATTTTTTAAAATGGCAATGTTTCTAGGAAAAACTAGTAAAATCTTAATGTTTAATGATTGTATTAAGAATGCAGCTTTTTTAAAAAAGTAAGTAATACAAAATGTTCTTTGAGACATTCCAATGGCTTTTTTTTTTTTTTGCTTAAAATAAACTTTCAATTATTTTTTCTGTGAAAGGGTTTAAAATAATAGTCCTATGTTTTCGGTTGGCTCTATAAACATTTAAAAATAGATAAAATTTGTCTTGGTTTTATTTAAATAAATTTTTGTTAGTAGCATTTCCTCTGGCAAATCAGTTGGTTATGTTAACAGTTCTGCTTACTTTTATCAAGTCAAAATGAGGTATCAGCTGAAATTTAAAACTGCCAACTCAAAACTTGTCTTTACCATCTGGTTTGATACCTTCTTCAAATATATTTTTAATGGATGGTGTTACAGGAAACTCCCCATCAGTAAAGGAAGCATTCCTGGACATCTGTAACTTTTTTAGAATCAACAGAAGTGCTCTGGTGAAGTAGCTGTGACATCTACCTCAGCAAATGCTGAAATTATGCTAACTGTAAAATCCACTTCCTCTTTCTACTGCAAGTGCTCTATTGGGAAAATTTACTATCACAATGAGCCCAGACTAACGTTCTTACTCAGATGCTCACAGTTTATTATGAGTGCTCAAACAGCTCCCTGCCTTTCCAGAAAGGAGTGCAGTTATTTTTCACAGGTGGGCATTTACTCTTCAGCTTTCCTAACTGTGTGAGGTACAAGCATTCTCTGTGTCAACCTATACATGGGATTTGTGTCATTCTTTTCAGTTTGTCACTTTTCAACCAGTTTAGGATTATGAGCTTTATTTCACACACACACACACACACACACACACACACACACACACACACCCCAGCCAAGGCAAAGGAGTATTGGGAATCACAGCAAGAACATTGCTCTCTTCTAACAAATTATCCTTAAGATATCTACTCTTAATCTTTTAAAATCATCTTTATATATCCCTTTTTAAATTAACTATCTAACTGCTTCTAGATCCCCTACTATGAAATGTCTAATGGTTGCCTATTTCATATTTATTTAGTGTGTTATGCTTATGATTTCTTTGTGCATCAACTGAAATGTCTAATTTATCATCATATTCCCATACAGTTGTTAAAGAATTTTTAGACAGATGTAGTTTTTTTAAAAATATGTTTTCTATTATATAAAGATGTTTAGTTAAGAAGAAACCTCTTTAGGTTAAAAAGACTATATTGTATAGAAATAATGTAGAGTTCTTACAGAAAGTAAATGGCATTCCACAGAATAAGTATTTCAGCAGCCTGACTTTGATGTGATTGCTAAAAAATCTTATAGATATTTCATTTTGGAATTGTTTTCAGAATACCCTTGCTTATGGTACAAGAACTAGTTACTTTATTTATATGTTAAAGAAAAAAATAATCAGTGATATATGTTAAAACATTGTAGGGCAGACTTTATTCAGGATCTTTGATAGAGTTACAGGGATCGCTGTAATGGGATATTGTAGTAGGGAAGAGATACTGGGCTCAACTCTGAATACTTCTTAGGCAAGTGGAAATTTATAGCCATGGAGCAGAGTGAGGGTCAGTGGGTGAAAAATTACTAAATGGAAACATCAGGATAAGGAGATTCT